TTTTGTGGAATATTAAGCTTCTTCTTGAACTTTTTTTAAGATGATGTAATATATGTTTTATAGAATTTAAATGCCTTTGAGTGGGCGAATGAATTGAATAACTTATCATTCTCACTATATATGCTACGGCTGGTCTAGTTAATGATAAATAAATGAGTCTTACATAACAACTGTTGATATCATTCTTTATCAATTGTTGATTCCTCATAAATTCCTTTCTTCTTTTAATCTTTTTCAATTGGAATAACCAATAGGTTTATACCCTAATTTTCCAATCTCTTTGAGCACATAAAAATTATATTTTTCTTAGGAAAAAATAAATGCCATTCTTCTAGCAACTTCAATTTCAAAGAAATATTTAAGTTCTTCCAAATTTTTAAATACGAGAGTTAGATGTAACATTGGATGCGAGAAATATTTGTAGAGATAGGAAAGGAGGCAATGAGGTTCTCGTGATATTTTTTATTGTTCCTTTTCTCCTGTGAGTAGAAAAGGAATATCTTCAAGAATATTACATCGATAGAAACAAAAATTTGGTGTAGGGTTGGTGAGTAACATTTATGGTTGTTGAATTTCCAAGAAATTGTAGTGTTCGGTGATGATGTTGTTATCTTATAGAGTGTTTCTGATTTTAGATCTGATATTAAAATACAAGGTTATATTTTCTATATCTGAGATCTCTTGGACAACATTTCAAATTTCTTAGCACTTTTGTAGAGGTAGGTTCGTCCATGCTTTTGGCCTCCATAGAATTTATGAGCGAAGCCATGAAAACAAAATTATCGGTTTTACTGTAATTGTAATTTGATGCATCTCTAGATAGTTTTATTGCAGTTCCTGTTAGATACTCGTTGTTCCCTCTTCCTATTATGACAAGCATGATTGAGTGGAACCCTTCATGAAATTTAATTCAAATAAGCTTCTATTGAGTGATTTGGAGGGATATACTTTTATATTTGGGATGAAAATTTGATCCATAGTCAATGTTATTGAAGCTCCTACTTTTTGATGGAGAGTACTTTAGGTGTCGACCGTTCATGGCGTGCCATTATCTTTACCGAATCTTGGATTATTGCTGGGAATCTGGCTTTGATACTATAAACAAAATATGATTTCTGCATTTCTTGTTGAATGACGTTATTTGAACACTTACATCCAAAACAGCAAAGAGACCATTTAGAGACTAAACAAATTATATATGCTATCTTTGTCTTTTCAAGATCAAAATATGGCGGGAATAACTACCATAAAAAAAATTATTGGAGCAGTACATATAAGCATTGAAGAAAGAAAAATTAGGAATAATAGCTTCCATGATCGCCACCCTTGGGCTATATAGTGGCAGGAGGCAATCATTTGGAGAAGCTTCGGTAATTAGCTGGAAGTAGTAATTTCGCCAGTGATTTTTGTAAGGATGAAAATAGCTAGCTACACGGATTTAGGCAAAAGATTCCTAGAGTAATTTAAATTGAAATGATTATCTGGCTTAACCCATCATAGGATCAGATATTTTTTTCATATTTGCCAACAGGTTGTTTTTCATAAACTGATATTTAGTAGGTGCTATTCTCATAAATCTTTTATTACATAAATTCTTGATCTATCATTTTATATTCTCAAGTATTTATTTTATGCTCGACTATTAGTAGCTTCTTTATCACCTATCAAGCAGATCCATTATCATGAGTATTATCTGGGGATCTAATGAGCTGAAAAAGTAATTTTGGGAGAGTATTGTGTCAACGACTCATGTAAATGGAACTGTATTAATTATCTTCTTTGATGAAACCGTTGAACCAAATCCTCCTATGCAGTGACGGAACTAAAAATTTTATTCGGGGGACCTAAATTAAAATAGTTCTATTTTCCGTCTCATTACCGAATCCCAGAGGAGTTGTAAGATCAAAATTTAGAATGTAAATAACATGACCTTTAGAGCTTAGAAGAGATAAATATTTGCCACAGGCAGTCTCCGTTTGGGGGCGAGAGAGGAGAGAGGGAAAGCGAAAGCCGTGCTCGAGGTCGTGAGTTGCGAGTCGTGTGAGATACACGAAGGGGAAAATGAAGCAGACCGTTTAGGTTGAGAGCTAAAATTTACACGAGATTCTTTAAAATATTTTTATTTCAGTTAATTTAAGTGAGTTTCAAATTCAATCATTTTAATACAATTTCAACTAAAATTTATTCGAGATTTTTTAAAATAAAGTTTCAAATAAAAGTCAAAGATTTCAATTAAAACTTCTATTTTTTAAAACTTTTATAAAAATATTGAAAAAAGGAAATGCATTGATTTCAGAGGATAACACATTAAAATTTATGTAAATAAACATATAGAATGTAATTATATCTGCAAAGTTTTACTCAAATTGTACCTATATGCAATAAGAAAACTCTGAAAAAATTAATTATTTGCTTGATAGGGAAGCCTCCCTTTCCACTTTGCGTGATGGTAATTGGGTAAAGAAATATATAACAGGTTTATTTAGGGGGGCCGTTCCCCCCCACCCCTTGCCCCCCCACCCCCCAAGACTTGGTTAGAAAATATTAGGAATGACCTTTCTTTATTAGATTTAAACGAGAATTTGACTTTTAATAGGACACAATGGAGAAAAAGGATTCATGTAGCCGACCCCACGTAGTGGGATAAAGGCTTGATGTTGTTGTTGTTGTTGAGTCTAGTTAGTTTATAAATTAATAAACATATTATATATTTTAATAGTTTTATTATTTATAAATATTCCTCTTATGAGACCTATAATGTTTTATGACGCAGAATGTTGGCCATTAAAAGGGAAGCATTAAAGTAAGTTAAGTGTTATAGTGATGATGATGCTCAGATGGATGAGTGGCTTCACTCATAGAGAAAAAATGCGAAACGAGTATATATGTGAAAAGGTTGGAGTAGCTCCAATGGCAGATAAGATTAGAGAGAGTCGTCTTAGATAGTTTGGACATATAGAATATTATCCTTCTGATAAACTGGTTATTAGAGTAGATGTATTAGATTTGATCTATGCAGAAAGGTAGAGGTAGACCTTAAAAAGACATGTTTAATAAATATTAAAAATGACATTTTCTTATTATATTTAAATGAGAATTTGACTCTTAGCAAGACAAAGATTCATGTAGCCGACCCATGTCGTGAGATAAAGGCTTGATGTTGTTGTTGTATTCCTCTTGCGAGAAAAATTAGAGCATGCAAACAACAAAAGAATTTGGCCTCAATGAGTGCTCCCTTTCTCCTCCAATCACAGAGTTGTAAGCATCCTCAAATTATCTAAAAAAAAAAAAATTCAAATACTTTGAGTTTTAGATAAGTTTGAAGTTGGCTAATTATCTTATTTTCTTCTTGTTGTTTATGAGTTTTGTTATTTTTCTGTTAAATGGTTGCATCAATATAACATACGTCTATTATATGATGAGGGTGGGGCGGCAGCTAGCACCGGAGGATGTAATCCACTGGGTTGGTTGTTGAGAGTTAATGTTTTAAAAAATAAAACACTTAAAATTATTTTGAGTGTTGTAATATTTACAGAATGCCAATCCAACACATCTTTTAATAATAAAAAATAGGCATGGATGTCAATCAAACTTAGGCTTTGTTTGGGACACTTTTCTATTGCTTTTTATAGCAACTTTTTTGTTAAAAAAATTCTAGTTAAATTTTTTTATACTACAAGTTGTTTTAGAGGTTTGATGGAGAAATATAGATAGACTAAGGAGGATCTACGTATGATATTTATTGATTTAGAGAAAGCATTTGATAAAGTTCCAAGAGAAGTGCTTTGGAGAGTTCTTGAAAGGAGTTAATAATGCTTATATTCAAATCATTAAAGATATGTATGCAGGAGCTATTACTTGTGTTCAAACACAAGGTGGTTTGATCAAGTATTTTCCTATTTCGGTTGGATTACATCAAGGATCAGCCTTAAGCCCACCTTGGTATATGCTTTTTGCTGATGTTATTCTTCTTGTTGATAAGGCTAGAGAGGGAGTTAAAGGTCAACTTGAATTATAATGATCAATCTTAGAGTCTAAAGGTTTTCGATTGAGTAGATATAAAACATTATATATGGAGTGTAATTTTAGTAGTAATAGACCTAGTCGGGGATTGTCTTTGGGAATTCAAGTCATTAATAAGAGTGCATGTTTAAGATATCTTGGATCTATTGTTCTGAGTGATGGTGAAATAGATGGGGATATTATCATTAGAATTCAAGTTGGAGGGTTGAAGTGGAGGAATGCATTGGGCTTGTGGTGTGATAGAAAAGTCCCCCCTCAAACTTAAGGGAAAATTCTATAGATGGTGATGAGACCTACAATGTTTTATGGTGCAGAATGTTGGTCATTAAAAGAGAAGAATAATACTAAGTTAAATGTTATAGAGATGAGGATACTCAGGTGGATGAGTGGATTTACCCTTAGAGACGGGATACAAAATGAGCATATACCAGAAAAGGTTGGAGTAGTTCCAATGGAAGATAAGATTAGAGAGTCTCCTTAAATGGTTTGGTCAGATAAAACGACGACCTTCCGATGACCTAGTTAAGAAAGTAGAGGTATTAGATTTGACTTATATTAAGAAAGGTTGAGGTAGATTGAAAAGACTTGGTTAGAAAATATTAGAAATAATTTTTCTTTATTTGATTTAAACTAGAATTTGACTTTTAATAGGACACAATTGGGAAAAATATTCATGTTGCCGACCCCACGTAGTGGGACAAAGGCTTGTTGTTGTTGTTGTTGTTGTTATTTTTGTAGCATGTTTTAGAAAACATTAGGAAAGTTGTCCCAAACGAAATCTTAATTTTCTTAAGAGCACCAAAAAAAAATGATCAATGTTTCCCATTTTGCCTCTTAAGTAAGTTTACTTATTAATTTTCATGCCTGCAAAACAAAAGCAACATTGTGATCAATGCTTGCCATTTTGATTCTTGAATAATTGCTCTTGTTATTATAGTGTTGAAATTTAAAATTACATTGTCGTTCTATTGAACCAGGTATGTTCAGCATTACCAGGAGAAGGAGAAGCTCGCCCACAGGTATTGAAGACTTGCAGGATATTTTGCTGAATACAGATTGCCCCAAGCTATCATTACCATGCTTGTTCTTTCCTGCATAAATATAATCACTTTTGAAGTAAATCAGATTATTAGCTGCTTTTTACAGCCCTAATGGGAGTATTTGTTTAATAATGTGCACTGTTGAGCTATAACATATTTTTTTTTATTTGAATGTGATGCATGCTTTCCTTATAAATTTATAATAACTGAGGGACATAAATATCTTTTATGGCTGATCAATTAAGATTTCGTTTGGGATGACTTTCTTATTATTTCTTAAAGCAATTTTTTTAGCAAAAAAATTTTAAATTTTATTTGGTTCTATGGTGGTTTTGGGTTGGTTCTCATTGGGTCTATTTTGACTATGATTTATTGAAACCAATTCATTGTGGTCAATTTCATGGAAATAGTCGGTTGGGTCTCATTGGATTATCTAAAATGCTATTGTTTTTAAACCTTTGAACTGGAGAAATCATACTTTAGCATGCACATCAATCTAAGAAATCAAATGCATAGAAGTTTACATCTTTTTCTAAGAAATCTAAGAACTGGAGAAATCAACTTTTTATTTTACTAATTGATTAAGGAATAAGTTTGAACAATTTGATATTCGATTTGTTTGTGATTATAAATAGTATTATTTAAAGCTCATTAAAATATGATAATATGCTCATTTAAGTCTTGATAATAAATTTATTTAATATTGGAATATCTGTGTCTTGTAGTTTTTTATTTTATATTATTTTTGTTAATGAATACAAGTCATTTGTTTATGCTTATTAAATTGCTTGTTGTTTTTGTACTTCATTTAATTAAAGTATAAATTTTTTAATATACATAAGTTGCTTATTAGTAGGCTCCATGAGGCTCTTGTTCAGATAATTATAACAATATATGTTCCATTAGACTTATTTGATGAGCTAACATGTTAAGTTTAAGCCAAACTCAAAAAAGGTCAGAGTTCAAAATGAGCCGTGCTTAAACATTATTACAAATACTCTTTGACAAATGATCTCTTACTTGGCTTGATTCAATTCATTTCCAACCCAAATTAAACTTATAAGTTAGCTCATAATGGTATGATTCACGCTCGTGTTTCTAGTAGAATCGATCAACACAAGCAAATCCGATCTCAACTACATCCTTGTCATACTTGTATTTAAACCGACTCGTCTTCCACCGAACTCAATTTAGAATCAAATCCAAGTTCGATTCCTTGACCTAATCACCAAGCAGTTCAGCCTTGACCAAGTTCTAAATCTTCATAATCCAACTTAATTTGGTCAAAATTATAGTCTAATTTGACTTGATCTGAATCCAACCCTATGATTCTCATCCATAGTCTTAGGTTTTATTTGAGATAGCTTTTTTACTATTTTAAAATTATGTTTTATTACAAATTTTTTTTATACTAAAAATTATTTTAAAAAGCAGAAAAAAAGTTTTTCCAACAAAGTCCTAATCATTATGATTGAAGTCTAGTGCTAAGGCTAAATGTGACACCACTTAAGTGGAATTGAACGTCATTTCGTCTTCATATTTTTTTGTTAATTATATTAACAATTGACGACTTTGATAATGCAATATTCTCTTGACTTTAATTAGAGAAAGACTTCAACAAGACATAAAGAAAAGCATGGATAATGACTTTGGTACTCTAAATGACAATGAGGCTATTTTGTAAGAAAATTTGTGTTGGGATATTCTCATATTCTATTGAAATAATAAATCAAATGAACTCTAATATTTTTGTATTTATTGATATTAGTGTTGTGTATTATATCATAAATTATATTAATTAATTAATATCAGTGTAAATGTAAGGGCTTTGAAGTCCATCTTGATTTTTTTTAGATTATGATATATTTTTATAATTTTCTTTTATTTATTTATAACATGTGATTTTAATTTTTTGTTTTAAATAATATCCATCAATACAAATAAAATATAGTTTAAGTCATAATAGAAAATTATATTTTGAATAATTAATGCTCATGAGCATTATCGAGCTAAGATCAAGCCAACTTGACTAACTTATACTCTTAAGTTAAAATTATTAATAATTTAATTATATCTATTTCAAAATTTATTGTATTTTTTAATAAATTAATATATTTAAAGATAATATGTGATACATAAAATTAATATATATATATATATAACAAAATTAATATCATTCAATTATATGAAGATAAGAACATCCTTTAAACAATGGCATTTCGCTTTCACAAAGAAAGGAAAAAATGTGCCTTCTGCAATATTAAATGATGAGAAAAAGAGTAAATAATACATACAAATATGAAACGGCCATTCACACTTTCTTCTAGAATGTTTTTCTAAGAGCTCATCATTTAATTAAAAAATATTTTAAAATAATCTGTCTCCCTATGATACACCTCATCGATTACGTCAAGCTTCAGTTCAACAATTCCTTACTTCTCAGTGGGAAAATTATCATGACTTATTAATTAAAGAATTTAGGATTTTTGATAAAAAAATAAAAAAATCATACCTACAAATTAAAAAAATTATGGAAAAAAACATCGTGCGGTCATTTTCGGGTCAAAAGCTGGTTCACGGACCAAACTGAATCCGACCAATTTAATATAAGGGTTGAAAAGCTCAATCAGAACCCATTCTATTTTTTAAACTGGTCCATCCAAACTTGAATTTCCTAGGTTGGAATCTAATCGAGTTGACATGTCGTGTCATTTATTGACACCCATAATTAAAGTAATCTAATAAATATAAAATACATTCTTATTAACTTAATCATAGTATTCTTCTCAAATTTATTTTTTGAGCATACGTTTGAGATTAATAGAGTTTAAACCATTGCAAATTTTTATTTGATGTATATAGTAAAATCAATAAAATTTATGTTAGTGTTAATTGATTTGCTGAAAAATATATAATGAGAAAAATAGAATAGAGTTTAAAGGAATGTAATGTATTTGAAATTCTTGGAATTATTTGATTAAGAAAAAAATAAATGTAAGAGATTATTTTTTCTTTGTCTTTTTTGAAATATTATGAATCTAGTGTGAGGCCAATGATAGTAATGAGTAGTGGCAACCGCGTAATAGATATAATAGGTGGCAGGTGGTGGTCGACAGCTAATGATGATGACTAAAGCTAGTAACCAGCGGTGAGCCGGTGATGATGTCAGACGAATACTAACAATAGTGATAGAAGAGGATTTATAATATATTTAAAAATAAATGAAATCTTGATACATCATCAAAAATTTATCTTGATCGGGCACAAATCTCAAGGCAAAATCAACCTGAAAATTTTAAAAATTAAATCTGAGACCATCTGAACTCCGTTTTCATCAAACTTATAGTCAAACTGAGCGTATCAGAAATACAAACCCAACGACACCAAATTCAACTCAATCTGAGCCTAAATGAGTTTGAATCAAATACTTGAAGCGCTATTGGAAGGTTCAAACCACAATTTGGATTACCAAACGGTTTCCAAACATGACATGCTTATAATTGAATCGAGTGGCTCGACGAGACAAATCCAACGAGCCTAAGATTGCCAAATTTTGATATCGTTAAAACCTTCAAATGTCTGACGAATTGTCCATGATTAAGGGATTCAATATCGACCGTTCATCTGAATAGCTCCACATTTTCTTATTTACGGGTCACGCCATCATAAAAAAAAACTATAAATAGCCCCTCATTTCTCTTTAGAGGGGACCCAAGCAAGAAGAAGAAGAAGAAAAGAGTAGGAGGGAAGAAACTCCTCCTCGACCACTGCAGGAATTTTGCCCGATTTCCACGGGACGCCGGAATTCTACTCGATTTTCAAGTGAAGCCGGAATTCTAAGTGACTCTGAATCACAACTTGTGTGTAACTGGACTTCAATCCGAAAGTAAATCATTGTAATCTAATCGTCCTAAATTCTAAGGACAAGTCAGCCTCTTGTATCTCAAACAAACACTAGTGAAACTTTATCAACTGGGCGTGGCCCCGTGATTTTTTTCTTTTTCCAGGTTTTTCACGTACAAATCCGAGTGTCTTTATTTCTCTCCTTTTTGTGTGCTTGATATCCGTACAAAGTTGAGACGGAAAATTTCTAACTCTATCGCCGTGCATATTCTAGTCCGCAACAAATCTAATAATTTTCATTATCAAATTTGAATCCAAAGGTGAATTCTAAAATTCACATCTAACTAAACACTTCAATTTTTTTGAAATACTTTGTATTTAAAATGTATTATACTATCAGAACATGTAATTAGGGCACCTAAGAAACAAGCAAGTGGAGCCGAGTAATGATTAATTGTTACTTAAATTATTCATTTCTTTTTTGTATGTTTGGTGGAAGTTTTGTCAATCAACAAAGGTTTTATTTAGGACGAGTTTCTTGCTGTTCTTAAAACAGATTTTTAATACAAAAATTTAAAAAATTGTAATAATAAGAAGCAATATGAAAGCCGTCGCAAATAAAGCCTAAGAGGTATTGGATTCGAGTTATAAGTATTTGATGTTGGTGTGAGTTTGTTGCCTAAATATATAAAAAAAGAAACTTATATTATCAAAGTCTAAACATTCTTTTATGAGGGGAAGTAGCAATTTTGAATATTATTTTATTATACAAATCATTAAATTAATAATTTTGAAAATTATATTGTTCTTGTAAGTATAAATAACATAATTTCCCAAAAAAAAAAAAGTATAAAGAACAGTTTTGTTGCATCTTTGGGTTGGGACGTGGATTGCAAACGGTCGATGAGCTGTTTTTTTTAGCAGAAAATTAATTGGCCATAGGACAAAAAATAAAATAAAAAATGGGTATCATACGATTCTTCTAAGCAACAAAAATGATACTTTCTAGAACAATTTTGTCATTTTTATAAATAAAAAAATAGATAAAAATATTTTGATAAATATGATTCTAAAAAATAATAATATTTATTTTAATATAATTATATTATTAATTATTTATATCTTATATTCATCTAAAAATTAATTTTAAAATTTTAAATTTCATTATGATACAGAATTTATTATGAAATATACAGTCAAATGACTAATCGATTAATAGAATATTCAAATTTTAATTTATTTTCTCTATTAAAGCATGGAATTTCTTTCTTCTGTGTTTTTTTAATTAATTTTAATTTTTGTCTTTAATTATCATATTTTAATATTGATTTAGTTTATAAAAAATTTTAAATAAATGCAAATAATTTTAATGGTCAATATGATTTTTTTTTGTAAAATATTTTGATATAATTTTTTTG